GCAGTCTGAAGCTCAGGCTTTCTTTTATTATTATTATTATTATTATTATTATTATTATTATTATTATTACTTTGTGGTTTTAAGAAATAGACTTGTATCTCCAGAGAACTGACATACTGTCAGCTGTGTAACTAAAGTAGCTTATCAACATTCTCTGTGTTTTAAAATAGAGAAGTTGCCTAAGGATTGAGTGGCCTAACGGCTACTGTGTGTTCACCTCTGTTGAGGAACTTGATCCACTAGAAACCAGGAAGCAGAGGAAACGTCACTGAAATCCTGCTTTAAAAAAAAAAGGCTGACTCATGCTTACAAAGGGTGGATTATATTTCCAGTCGGCCCATATTCTGTTGTGTGTTACAGTTTTATTCCTTGGTAAAGTTTAATAACTGCAACATGCAACATGATATTTTGTTTTTCAGGGATCTGAACATGTCCGAGTTTGTGTGTGACCCCAAGGCCGGCCCCTACATATATGACCTCATTGCCGTGTCAAACCACTATGGAGGAATGGGAGGGGGTCACTGTAAGTTATTGTTCATTTTTTCATCTTAATCTCTTAAAGAATAGCTTAACATTAAAACAATTTACTTATTTTACTATTTACTGTTTTATTTTCAGCCACGCTCTAGTTCTTGTGACAACACAGTTTGTTTAGTCTTCAGACATGCACACAATATGTGTTAACAGATGGTCTGCTGAACGACCACTGTGTCTCCATGGACACTATAATCAGGCACTTTACAATATGGCAAAGTGTCTCACACATCTTTGTTTTCTGTGGACTCATTGTCTTTTTCATATTTGCTTTGTTCATTCATAGTGAACAGGTCAGATAAGATTTGTATCTCTTCCTGGGTAAAACCCGAACACACAATAAGCTATGGACTATGGAATTTAGGGTCTTAGTGTTTGATAGTGGTAAGCATCTAAAAAGTATTAGAAATTAGGTTCCATCCAAATTCAAAATATTGGGAGATTTGTGAACTTTTCCTGATAATTGGGTTGAACTGTTGTGGTTATGCTCGGACATTTATTATGAAAACTAGGCTGATGTGTTTTATGTGGGCCTCTTTTTATGCGGCTAAAATATGTTTTTTGCTGCTGCCCTGCCCGCAGCCGTGCTCTTGTGGTGAGGGAAGAAAACTTTATAAAATGTGGTCTGCCACACTTACAGTCTTGATAAATGAGACCCTGAACTTTGATATCATGTAATGCACTTTTACTATTGTAAGCCACATTTCCGAAGGCTTTAACACTTCTTTCCCCCCTAACAGACACAGCTTATGGCAAGAATAAAGTGGATGGAAAGTGGTATTACTTTGATGACAGCAGTGTCTCCTCTGCCACAGAGGACCAGATTGTGGTGAGTTCGGACTCATTGAAGTTCATAAATCTATATATCCTGTCATTGAATACCCTCAGAGATTCAGTATTTGGTGATCCTGGTGTTTTTATTTATCCATTGACCGATGCTTGATGAAGATAAGCCCGCAGCCTTCTCGGCTTTCAGTCCTTGGTGTCAAGTGTCCCTGTTTTTGTAATGTAATCCTACCCTGGTCTTCCCTTGCAGACTAAAGCAGCCTACGTGCTGTTCTATCAGCGCAGAGACGAGGAAGCCCCCTCCAAACCTCAGCCTTCGGCCTCGCTGGGGGGAGCCCCGGAAGCCGCTGATGACCACATGGACACAAACTGAGGAATCCCGGCGAAAGGGACACGCACTGAAACACATACAGCAAATAGAGACACTCGGACGCACACACAAAGCTACTTTAGTGACAGAGGACTCCACAGACTTAACATTGTTAACCCTACCTTCCCCCGTATTTTATTTGATTTCTGTCTCGTATGTTGTCAACTAGAGCCAACAGCCTTGTCAGAAGAGTGAACTGAGAGACTTCCTCTCTGCAGCGGGTGGCCTACTGATTCCTAAACATAGTTTACTAGTCTGGAACTAAGGAGTATAAATGGATATAAATCCTCTCACTGGATGAACAGAATGTTAGAAGTGCCCTCAAATGCGTAGATAAACAAATGTTTCTGTTGCTCACAACAACAGTCAGAAATATTAAAGAAAAAAAAAAAAGCCAAATTCAAACAATGTTTCAACCAAAGCGTTCAAAGGTATTTATAATTAAAAATGAACCAACTGATAAGACATTAGCAGGTTACTGGCATTGTGCCTAGACACATCTTGCTGTGCTGAGGTAAAGGCAAACTTTACCAGTGCAGTGTGCACTCCGAACAATACACGCCATGCTCGTTGAAAGAATCCTGTGACCTTATTCCACCAGTGTAGAGTGGATCACTGATGGGGGATCTTGCTGCAGCTGCAGACTAGCTGCGGCAGTTGTGCTGTGTTGCACAGAGGGGGGATGTCTCGTTTCAAGGTTTTAAGATCTGCGTCTTGACATGAAGGGTGGCAGAAGCAGTTTTTCAACATCGCCCTTGTTCAGCCATCTTTTTGTTTTGTTTTTTGTTCTTTGACGCACAGTACGGGCTCAACTGTCTCTCGGATCCTAAACCTATGAGAGGAGTCTCACCCTGCTAATGATTTTTATTTTTATTTTTTTGTAATCACAATGCAAAAGCGGCCTTTTGATTCCTGCAACCTAACTAAAAAGGAGGCACTTTGAATTCTCCATGAGTACATTATCTACCTGCTTCTGGTGTATCTAGGCAGATTTGTATGGTTTGGCCTTAGCATTAAGGGTTATGGTCTGTCATACACTTCCAGATCATTTTAATGTGTCTTATAAGCATATTTTGATTGCTGCCTGATTGGACCCCTAGCTCACCTGCAATGGCTTGTCCTCATTAGTCTTGTACATTAATGCAGCTCTGTATTGAAATGGCTATGTTATTTGATATCTTCAAAGCACACTGAGTGAAGCAAAATAAACTAGTATAAAAGTGGTGCTTTATTCATGAAACTTGAACTTGATCCTTGTCATGAGGAACAATATACACGTGTCATCAGATGGGGTCAGGACAGCAGTACCTTAACGGCATTCTCACTGAAGCCAATAGTTTCCCTTCCACTGACAACTACTCAGCTGTTTAGTAAAAGATGATAAAATAGTTGTAAGATAAGACAATAATCCCTTTTGTTTTATCTCAGTGGAGTCTTTATAGACACACAATGGTCACAGGAAGCACAGCTATAACAGGTGTCTTGTGTGACTGAGTATAAAATAGAATACATTTACTTATACTCAGTCTCAAGGGTCTTCTTGTGAAACCAGATGACACTTAGTACTTGATAAGTCTTGTTCTGTGGCATAAATTCTACTCTTGTTGCATAACAGCATGTTGATATGAAGGGCTGCCAAGTGGCCCTTTTCACTGGTTGGTCCTGCCATCATTATGTCCTTCAGAGATGACTACCTAAATATAATCATTTATGCCTATATGACTAGAAAAGCTTTACACCATATCTGTAATCCTAGATACTTAGTTGAAAACAAAATTCAGCTGCCAAGTGCAGCGAATCTTGTTTTCTTCCCCCTAAATCATGACAGCAATTCAATTTCAACAATAACCGAAGAGATGTAAATAATCACACTATTGAAAATAGGTGTATAAATTCTTGTCCTCATATTTATCTTATTGCCGATATCTACAGTATTTGTTTTTAACTGAGAAATATTTGAATTCAAAGTACAATAAAGACTGGAAGCCTCAACAAGGTGGTTTGTTTGGAGTAATTACATGCACAAAACTAATAATAGGTATACCCGCACCAGTGCTGTGATTCTGGCTTAACTTTAGTGGGTGTTGTGAAATAACTATTGTAAAATGATCTGTAATTGCAGGTGGTGCAAACTTTTATGGCAATTCATGCTGACTGGTGGCAAAGTGAACTATGATCTGTGGCAATGGAACAGTAAATAGTAATCACACTATTACTGAAAGCCCAGGATTCAATGTGTAAGTTCTGGATGGATAGTTTTACCAATCAGAACTTTTTCATTTTAAAGTTACTTGTAAGAAAAATAATTGTCCAATGGGACCTTGTAGAAGGGTTTTAAAAATTAAAAGTTCAATTTGGTCTTTAAAATTTTAATTTAAAATATTAACAGTTGGGACTTCTGTAGTGATCAAATCTTTCTACCATAATTTCACAGAGAGGCAGTCATGAAAATGTTTGAAAAAAATAAATTTATTGGTCCTTTTTAATACATCAAACCACAACTGTGCTTTACGTGCACCCAGTGCAGCTGAAAACATTCAGCCTTTTACATTTCATCGGATACCCCCCCTCACAACTAGCTTGGTTTCAGAGGATGTCTTCATATAGTAAAAGAACAGAAGTCACAGTCACCGTGTACAAGTGAGCACAGCAGGTCTGAGCATGTGTCATACAACATTGACATTTTGGAGGACCATTCATCAGTTTGCCTGGTTGAGGAGCTTCTTGATGTCTCCCTCGATGTTGCTGGTGAGGAACGTCCTGCTGTAACGCTTGAAGGGCACTCCATCTGGCCCGATGAGGAACTTCTCGAAGTTCCAGGCCACGTCGTTCCTGCAGACCGGGCTCCAGATGATTAATTTGGGGTCAGTGATGAAGGCGGTTGGCTCGTCGCTGGGGAACGGGAGCTTCTCCCTCAGGAACGCGAACAGGGGATGGGCATCCTTCCCGTTCACATCCACCTTCTCCAGGAGCTGAAACTTTGGCTCAAAGCCATTTCCAGGACGGATGTACTTCAGAGACATGAGGATTTCTTCATTCTTGCAGTTCTCCTGCATGAGTTGATCATAATGTTATATAAAGTCAGGGGGTGTGGAAGCTTTTGCATCTTCCTAAAACAAGAACACTATGGAAATGTTCTAGCAAAATTCAATAATTAATGGATGTAAAACTAACATTTCAATATCACTTTGTATCAGCCCATATTCACAAAGGTTGAAGTCATTTGATTAATAGCTGATAAATAATTGAATTGCCTTACAGGTCAGTTAACCATTCTAATGCTGACCTTTGGTTTGGCAGCTTGGAGGCCACAGTTTGACCTAAAGCTCACACAGATTGTATAAATCCTCTCTTTCTTTTTTATTTGGCAGTTTCTTAAACAGGAAGCAGCTTTCCCACAGGCTGTTTTAACATCGTCTGAACCATGATTTCTGTAACCACCTTTTAATGAGTTACTTATATTATTGCTATTGGCAGTGAGTTAATGAATAACATATAACGGCGGCTGGGGAAGCAGTAGACAATGACAAGCAGTAGACACAAGGAAGTACTCAAAAAACTCCAGGGTGTTTTTTGTTGGGCGTTTGGTAATTGAAACCAACTTCCTCATATATCACTTATTGCTCTGACTGCTCTACTACAACCAGCCTGTTCTCATGAAAAACTGTATTCTTGAATTTCAGGTTTACTTTTCAAACGTTTAACCACCGAGCTAGATAATGACACATTTGAACTTGATCGCAGTTATAATTTGACTAAATATAAGACTAAAAGCTAAACCTAAAACATGCCAGTACAGAGTTAAAAGTAGTTCTAAAATATGAACAAAACTACTTTTATTTAAGTATGTGCAAATTAATTATAAAAAATTATCAAATAAAAACAAAACTTAAAAATACAAACGAACATATAACCCCAATCTACCTGAGAGTCAATAAGAGAACAGACCTGGTAGATATACATAATCCTATATATGAAATAAATATAGATATTATGTCCTCACCTGATGGCCGAACTGGTTGCAGGGCACCCCCAGGATAACGAGCCCCTTGCCGGCGTACCGCTCATGGAGCTCGTTCATCTGGGTGTAATCCCTGGTGGTTGTACCTCAGAGAGACGCGACATTCTCAATGAGGACAACTTTGCCCTGCAGGGTCGAGAAATCAAACGTCTCCCCCGTTAATAGTTTGGCCGTGAGCTCGTAAAAATTCGGGGCCATTCTTGCGCTGTGCTCTCTTCAGAGTCAATCCTCTCTTTATTTCCTCCAGACGCTCTCTGCCGCTCCTCAGTGCCCAGGGGAAGGTCTGCCAACCTTTGGAGCGAAGAGCTTGTGTGTAGCCGTCAAGATAGTTCACAGCCTACAGCCTGCGGGTCGGCCGAGTTGAACGTAAAGTCAGGATTGCTAAAAAGAGAAATGTGCCACATAGTAATTCAAAATGATTAAATAGTAAAGAAAAATCTCAGTTTTTACTGTCTCTGATAATTCTCAGATGGTGAATCAAGATTTGTTTTCCATAGTATTTCATAATTTTGATTTATCATGAATATATAGTCTTTTTTGCTATTTCGTCATTTTCTTCTTCCCTGTATCCATAATTTAAGTAAACATAGACATAATGAATGCATGCATTAATACAAAGGGTTAATATTGAATTATTTTAGCCATGACGATATCTGGGGGAACTGTTCTGTGAGTTGTGTGAAACCAGAGTCAAATTCCTTGTATATGCACACATATCTAAACTGATTCGGATTCTGTTGGGTACTACTCAGCACATACTGATAGCTTAATTTATTGCAAGTGCAGTTTATCTTTATATTCAGTTCTCTTTTAAAAAACAAAACGGTTCATTTAGTTCGTAAATCGAGACGTTACCAGGGCTAATGCCGTTTGTAAACCTAAGCGAGCCGAAGAAGGAGGCAGGTAGCAGTTAACCATCTCGATCAACTGTACACTCTTCGTTGCAGTTGAGCAGGTACACCGCTCTAGGGGTTGTGCGGTTTCCTTACACGGCGTATCCCGGAAAGACTCCTCGTAGATCTAAGCCCCGCCCAACAACGGCCAAATTGTATGTAAAATCATGCGGTCCAATGCCAGAAAGTGAGAAACCGTATAAAATATGTTGTTATGTTGAACGAACTTTTAATAGCACAGTCAAGAGACTAACGTATAAACGAGCTACATAACGTATATAAAATGTGTAGCTGCTTTATTTGACGCACTGGGCGTTTATTTGTTGCTGTCCCCGCCTGTTCACGTTACCTAAACTCAACTCCACGGAGACGGTCCCTAACTGGCTGATGACGCGTTGAGCACATTGGCGCGGAGGTTTGTTTGGTGACTTTCGGTGACTGAGCTCGTAACATCGTCGTCTGTCCATTAAACGTATGTATGTCTCACTTTTATCACCCTGCCTGATTCTGACAGCCAACAACATAACCTCGATATAACGTCCATACTTTGCCATGTTTGTGTTAGTGAATGAACTTACTGAACTAACGTTAATACACTAGCCACGGTGTTTTGCTGCACAGCTCCTCAGCTAAGTGGACTTGTAAACACGCTAGCTTGTTTGCTACCGTAAGTGTCAGCTCGGTGTAATTCTTCTGACTTTTATATTTGAACAGATGATGCGCAAAAAGCGACGCTCCTCTGCGGATAAAGGGCAGGGAGCCACAACAACCACCAGTAAGTGATATGTAATGTAACATCACAGCAGCTCTTAACTATCTACCTGTACAGGAGAATGAGATAATCTGGCATGACTTCACCAACATACACCCTGTCCCATCCCATTCATTCACTGATTTGTCTATATGGGGGAAGTTTGTCTTTATATATTCTGTTTTATGATGATTTTATTAACTTGTCTCTATAGAGGCAAAGAAGAGTCGCAGCACTGGTCGCCAAGCAAAGGAAGCTGCTCTAGAAGAGAGCAATGAAAGTGTATTTGTCGTCTTTGTTCGAGAGGCAGGTGTCACCTTGAAACAAGGTGGCACATCCAATGAGATTGGTAAACATGCTCAATCTAAGTTTCAAAATATATGAGACCAGTAGATGAAATCAGTTTTCCCACTTCTGATTATTCTGATCTTTATCTTTTCTCCTCTAGCTGTTGACCAAGTAGTTTTCCAAAAGAGGATACAGCAGAAACTACAGAAGAGTCCCAGGTACCCTGAGGTAAGTATACAGCCCCCATACACAATCAAGGCATTTAGTGTGAGACAGTTATGATTAATTGACATTTCATTTCTCAGATTGTGCAGGAATTTACCACTGGATTGGAGTCTCATATCGAGGACCCTGAGCGGTTTAGAAACTGCCTCCTTCCGTGTGTCCCACGGCTGCCTGATGGAGACTCCAGGTAACTGTTATAAAAACACTCAGTGGTTATAAAGGCAACTTTAGGCAGAACTTAAATTTCTAAGGGGTACAGCCACGACTTCGACTAAACTTATGTTCAAGGGTGTGTATAGTGTCACATACTGACGTGTTTTCCTCTGTGTTGCAGTGTCAGCACATTCCAGGAAAGTCTGCTTCGCATGCTGTTGGGGATTGAGATGCTGCAGGTAGGATTTTCTGCATAGATCCTGCTAAAGGCAACCCTTTGACAAAGGACTTCACACAGAAAAATGAATGCGAAATGTCCCCGCTGCTGTGAGGCATGCAGACGTGTACTGTGCACTGTATGCTCCACAGATGCTTAACCTACTTTTCTCCTTGACGCAGACTTTCATCATTAACACCTTGCTTGAGAAACTCCCTGAATTTATGTTTGATGGGTCAGTATTTCTTATGAGTTCACTTTACTGCACAAGTACTATATAATATATGTAGTATTTTTAAACACACTTTTTTTTCCTACATTGTCTTATTTTTCTAAATGTCATCTTTTTTCTGTCTTACACAGCTCTGGAGATGGAGGGATCAGTATTCCTCGCATAATTATAAACCAGCTCAAATGGCTAGACAGAGTTGTGGACAGCAAGGTGGTAATTTCTGTGATCATAGGTTGTGTTGTATGTACAGTCGTCCCCAGTCATTAGAGGTGTTATTTCTGATCTCCATTAGACCTGTAATCATGTATCATATCAGTCAACACTCATTTCTAGGTGGCGGTGCGATGGTTAATTTATTCCCTGGTTGCTGCCTGTTATTTGCAGGAACTGGCAGTGAAGCTCATGGAGCTGGTGTCAGTAGCGCCGGTGGAGGTTCAGCGGGACATCATCACCAGCATGCCAGAAATACTGGAAGACTCCCAGCACAATGATATAGCCAGAGAGCTCAAGTGTGTGCGGCAAATCCCTACTACACTTCTTGTACTGCATGTGTGTTTTCAGAGTTACTCATTATACTTACTGCTATTTTCGTCTGTGTTCGCTGTAGCTCTTTACTCCAGGAGAACACTCAGTTGACTGTCCCCATCCTGGATGCCCTCTCTAGTCTCAACCTGACTTCTTCATTACTCACTGAGGTAACACACACACTATTACACTTATTTTTGGTGAGTAATTAAAGGCCAGGAGAATGTCCCCGTGTACTTACCTGGTACTGTGTGCTGTCTCAGGTTCGTGGAGCCGTAATGGCCACTTTGGCTGCAGTGCAACTGGAAGACCTGCCTGTGGTGGTCAAGTTCATCCTGCACTCTGTCTCAGCCTCTGATGCATATGAGGTCAGAGCTCCCCAGCATTGTGCATATGAAAGAACATAATGTTGTGATTGTGTTCTGGTTGTTCTGGTACTTGAAGTCTGAGGTGTGTTTTTTCTTGGGTGTAGGTGGTGTGTAATCTTCGTAAAAAGCTGGAGTTGGAGCAGTGCATTCTCCCTCCTGTGATGCAGGCCTCCCAGAGTCGCATGAAGAGCAAAGGATCAGTAGTGTAAGATGACGCAGATTCCAATTCACTCACAACTATACATCAGTATATTTCACGTGTATGTAGTCAGGAACCTGTTTTTTGAAGTAGGCCAGCAGATGGATATTTTATTCCTGAAGATTTAATCTAATAACTCTGTTTTTGGAGCAGGTCTGCTTCCACACCGGCAGCTGGCAGCAGCCAGGACAGCGTTGCATTGATATTGGACGGCATCAAGTCAGCAGTGCGATTCCAGAAAACTATATCTGAGGCTTGGCTCAAGGTGGGAGATTAATGAGTTCTTAATCCCTGTTGCTTTAATTGATTACTAAATGCTTTTTATTTTTTCTTATTTCTAATCTTCTCAGTTTCAGTGTTGCTTACTGAACTTTTACTGTCGTTTTTCATCAGGCAATCGAGTCTGTGGACGAAGTGGAGGACCATAAGGTGAGTGCCATCTCTTCAGGTGACACTGATTAATGTCAATGTGTAAAAGTGCTTAAAAAAATCATCATTCACACATCACAGACCACATTATTTCATCATGATAATGTAAAATTATCCCATTATTATGTTTTATTTATATATATATATATATGATATATATATATACGTATATATATAGTACGTTAGTACTATATAAGTATATATAACTAAATTAAATTTTTAATAACAGGTCTTCATTTCCTGTATTTGAATAATCAAACATGGGATGGGAAAACATGCTAAAATGTGCTCCTACATGTCAGGTAATAGACCTGCTGGTGCTGTTCATCCTCCACTCCACCAACGCCAACCAGAGCCGACGGGGGGCAGAGAGGGTGCTGAAGGTGAAAGTGAGGACTGGAGTAATCCAGGAGGCTCTGCTCCAGAGGACCTTCAGGGACTACGCTCAGGTGTGTTTTAACTTAAATCTAAAGACAGAAGAGCATTGCACTTTATTTTTTATACTGATGTAGTGATTGTAGTGGTAATTTGATGAATATATTGTGTTGATTAATGATTATACTCTAGGTCATGCGTGGGTATTTCCCCTCCATCCTGGCCCTGGCTCAGAGTTTGCTGCGCTCCCCTGACCCCTGCGTGGTGCCTTTCGGTGGACACATGTATCGACACTCATTCACTGCTTTCGACTCTTACTGCCAACAAGTGGGTTTGGGGTTCATTTTTATCTTTATGTGCACAAGTGTGTTTATCTGTTTTTGAGTATAAATGTGTCTGAGTCTTTTCAATTCCATCCTGTATTATGTTTTATAGGAAGTGGTGGGCTCTTTAGTGACCCATGTGTGCAGTGGTGTGGGTGGGGAGGTGGACATGGCTCTGGAGCTGCTCTGTGGCCTGGTTACAGAAAAGCCCTCAGAAATGGCCCTGTATGCTGTTTTTGTCAAGGTAAGGAGGTGGTCCATATACAGTATTTGCCATTGTAGCGGCTAATCAAACCACAACGT